GCACCCCGCTCGCTCATTCACAACCCATACCACCTATAATACAGATATCTCGCAAGCGGAGGAGAAGATGATGATGACGATGATGATGATGATGATGATGATGATAATGAAGATGATAGTGAGGAAGAAGCGATGATGATGAAGAAGAAGATATGATGATATAGAAGCTTCTAGATAAGGATAAAGAAGATGATACAGAAGATGAGGATAAAAAAGGTGATGATAAAGAAGATGAGGATAGAAAGATGGTGGAGATGATGAAGAACTTAAAGAAACCAAGAGCAGCATCGCCTCATCGCTGCGGGTGAGAGCGTCGCCGCCTTGTAACACGAGCGCGACAGCGCGGGGCGTCCGCTGCAGAAGGGGTGGTGGTGGTGGGATGCGCGGTGATGGTGGGGGGTGGGGGGTCGCGATGTCGCAGGCGCCTCTGCCCCGCGTCCCCCGCGCCAGCGCCAGCTCTAGCGCTCGGTGATACGCCATGCTGTCCCGTTGCCAGGCAACAGGGATGGGCCGGGCCCCGCGGCGGCCCCGCAGAGCGCCCCGCGGGCCGCTGGCTCCGCCGGGCTCCGCCATGATACGCTGATGCCTGGCTGATGATCCCCCACCACCGCGCCGCTGCCGGGCCCCGCGCGCTGCAGCCCCGGCCGCTACGACACGCTCGGCCCCGCGGCGGCCCGTTTTCGCTGCTGCTGGCGCTGGCCCCTGCTGCTTATTTTCTCAACAAACATTTGAATTTTGATCCACGTCGCGCAACGCCCCCCCCCCCCCCCCTCTCTGCACAGGCTAGAAGGGCTGGCCGGCCCAGACTTAGCCTACTTAGCATGGAGCTGGCGCGGGGCCGGCAGATCCGTCCTCCTTGTGCGGGACGGGGAAAAAATTGAGGTATCGAAACTTCAGTAATTTTCGACATTGACGGAATATTGCGTCCACAGAGTCCTGCAAGGTCAGCTGACGGTCAGCAGCCGCACGTTGTGGCCATCTCGCTTGCACACCAGGAAACCATCAACATACATCCGGGGGCTGCGTCAGGAGGGGCAGCTCCGGCGACACACGCGCCCTTGCGCACTGGTGTTGCCGCGCGGCGACCCAACCCGGGGCGGGCGGGACATTTAATACTACTTTCTGTATAAGGACCGCGGCATCCATGCATTATTCACACGTGTGTGCTCTGCATGAGGGAGAGACAAACTAGGGCAAGAGCAAGGACGGAGGAGAGTGGGGAGGGAGG